GCAGCAATCTGTTGAGGATTGCGCGGTCCACCGACAATCTCACCATCACCGCCCTCACCGCCAGCGGCGTTATCGGCTGGTGGAGCATCGGCTGCTGGTGCTGGTTCCGCCCTATAAATTTTTTATTATACAAGTGAGTAAAGGCAATAATGTTGTATGTCACATAAGTACTTATACTTGAGCATAAATTATTATAAAAAAAATTCAAATAAAAAAAAAATTAAATAAAATAAAAAAAAAATAATAATAAAGACAGATATCTATCAAAAGAGTAATGTGCAAAGTAATACCAAATAAAAGAATTAAAAACGCTGTTTAATCCAAGCAATGAATAATATAGCAAAACTTTTTAGCACACATTTTGCTTACATATTAGTTGTACATTTTTAGCGATACCCAAACTAAGTTTATGGAACACTGATCATATAATTTATTTTATTTATCCACTTACTCTTCCTTCTTTTTGTCTTTCTTGCCCATTATTGTAGCAGTGTTTTAAATAAATGTGATAAGCTTGAAAATAAAAATTATTTCATAAATAAATGTTAAGATTTTTTTCTTTTTGATTGTATGCATAAGTACGAGAACGATTTATATTTTTATGACCGTGATTTTATAATTTAGCAAATTTCATAAAGCAAGCAATATTATTCGTGCTCTACAAGTGGTATCATCATTGAGACTGCTTTCACTCGTTTGAGTAAAATCACTCAGCCACACAACTCATTGAAAGCCTTTTCAATTTGCCAAGAATTGACAGTTACATTTACTCAATCGAAGTGAAATTTTCCGACAAATAATTTTCTAAAATATTTTATACCTCTAACGTCCCCCGAAATGCTATATTATTCAAAAATTTTCAGAAAAGGGGTCAAAATGACCCTTACGTAAGAGAGCTAATGGGCTAAAATGCTCCACAAAATGTTTCCTCCTGAAATTTTACTACATATTTTGCTCCGATATGAATTTTAACACTTTTCCCACTTATTCTTAAAACACTTGGGCAAAAAATTTAAAATTTAAGATGGTCATAAAAAGAAAATTTGACTTAACACTGAAAAAAAAAATTGGAGATTTTGCTATATAGATGAAGATCTTTCATCCTGGATTTCAAATATTCCGCCCCTAAAAAATGTGGTTGCACTTTGTAGTTTAATGCCCGTTTTAAGCTACCCTTTTTCATTATTTATTTCCCATGCTGGAAAATTAAAAAAAAAATTCAATTCTATACAAAAGTACCACTAAAATGCGATGAAAACCTATCAGAGTTGTTGACCAGCCATTTATGCCAGCAGTGCAGCCACAACTTTCCCAATGAATCATACGCTTGTTACGCTTTGAGCTGTGATGAAATTAATCAATACATAGTACAATGTGTACACACTTTGCCAAGTTCGCAGTAGAATTAGAGAAGTTGCCGTGTGCCAAATTATTAAATTAAATATCAAAAAAATAATATATTGCGAAAAGTATTTTCACAACAACCCAATTTTCCTCCAGAGCGATATAGACTGTGGCATTTCGCAACTTTGTTCACCGCAAAGTGTTTCTTAATTATCTATATTAATAAATATAGTCCCTTGGTGTTCATTAATTGATTTCCGGCTGCCACATGGATTCGCAACGCTACATACAATCTTTCATAAGTGTTTACTATAGATGTAGGTGGTTAATGCGCACTTAACAAGGTGAAACAAAAAACTAGAACATGACCGGTAATTTTTGATAAACTGGAACTAGTCTAGAAGTTATAACGAGTTCACTTCACTCAATATTGACTAGATATAGCTTTTATACTGTCATCGTCCAAAAATAGTGTATTGAAAGCTTAGGAAATCTTGGAGAAAATATATGTAAATAGAAATAGAGGTCAATAGGCCCCATAACGTGCGGGGTCCACTGCTCTCTGCAAGAGATTTCTACTTTGCTCCATTTCTCGAGGGTTATGCCCGCTACGCCGCTGTGGTGTAGTTAGAAGTGTGCAGAACCATTCCTCAGGGCCCGTGGTCGAGCCCAACTCCCGACTAACATCAAAAACAAAAGAAAATAAAAAGTTTTTCTCATAGCGGTCGCCCATCTGCAGCCAATGGCAAACCTCCGAGTGAATTTCGGAGTCGGCGTAAAACTGTAGGTCCCTCCTTTCCGCCAAGCGAGGGCTATCCAGAATTCAATTGTGACCGCAGTGACTAGCTTTTAAGATGGAAACACACAGCTCCATTAAAAAAAAAATAAAAATATGTAAAAAAATGTAAAATCTCCAAAACAGTCGTACTATACGTTTTGCGGTCGCTGAATACAAAGCCGAGGTCAGTTTTTTTCCATCACCTTTGAAACATGGCGAATGTCATATCAGGGGCACGTTTTTTGAGGTTATGGAAAAGTCCTGACCACAAAACTTTATTGGGAATGTGTCCCATTTACGCCGCATTTTATCTCAGAAAATTTTTCAAGAACCTCCTATCTCAGAATTTAGTTGAAGAACGCCGTATCTCAGCTAAAAATGCATTGAAAATGTGCTGAGATAGGCCGTTTTCAAACTAGCTGCCGAGATAGGTCGATCTTCCACTCACGTATCGATATGTTTTTATGTATTTTGTTTGACTGTTACTGAATAAAAATAACACAATTATAATTTTTATTTTAAATTCTCGAATCGTTGAACCGAACCGAAACGCCGACAGAAAACACGCTTTGGCGGACCAACCGAAAACCTCTGTACCAAGCATATTTCGGAACTTTAAACGAATTGTAATAGTTTCTTTGAAAGATAAATTCGAGATTCGAGTTTTTCCGAGTTTCAAGTTGACGGGGCCTCCCACTTAGTCATATAATTTTCTTTGGTAGTAAAATAAACATTTTCATTCACTGATTTCTATTTGTCTCCAAAGGGTTAAAAGAGCAGAAACCACTACTAGTCAATTTTCCGAATTCACTAGAAACGAACCAATCAGATACCACTACACTTAACTGTTTGGTAATAGAACTAGCGACTGAGTAGTTAGTTGAGTGGGTGTTGACACACCACAAGGGCATCGCTATTTGTTTTTGTACGGCGATTAATTAAGGACGCCACTATCCTTTTTATCGTTTGGGTTAATTTAAGTACAAATCAGTAAAAAGAAAAATTATAAGTAAATAATTGCAATGAAATCAAACTAAAGCGAAGGAGCACACTAAAAAAAAGTCGAGAGTGATTTGCAAAATCAATAATGTCAGCCACTTACATATTCCTTGCTTTGTTGCGATACTTTGCTCGGCGACTGCGGAACTAAAAGCACAGAGTACACTGTTACACTGAGCAGAAAAATTGAATATTAGTTGTTGTCGATAGCGCTGCTGCGGTTGTGGCTGTGGCTGCTGCTCCTTCCTAGGCGTGTGGGCGATAGGGTGCGGCAAGGTGTTGTCTACAGCGGTAAAAGATGCGAGATGCGTTCCTTGGCACTGACGGCGTCTTGGAACTGTGATACAAGCAAGGGGAGAAATTTGAATGAAAAAAAATGCACAACGTTGAATTTGAGTTTGATTTGACTAAGTAAGTATGTTCAAGCGGTCAAATTATGACTGGCCACTGCCTGACGTTTCTTACTCACCACTCACAAAATATCTACAATTGCAGCAGCAGGGGTGTTGGTTGTGTGTTTTTTGTTTTTGTTTTTGATTGTATGCCGTAGGGTTGTTTTCGAAGTTAGGCAGCTTTGTGCATTCGAACTTCGAAAGAATACAGAGATTACGCGTAAATGTTTCGGCTGCTTTCCTGCCTTTCAGTGGATGACTCGCAGAATTTCGTATGTGCCCTCCGTTGTTTTTTTTTTCCCACTAGATGTTGAAGTCTATTCAGCCCTTATTAAAATTATGTTTTAC